CGTATTTCTGTATACAAAGAACATCCAAAAAGAACTTGGCTGATATTTTCAGTTTCTTCAGTGCCGCAAATAGGTTTTTATCGCAAGAAGTGGACTCATCATTTATATTATAGTACTAATACTAGTCTTTGATTTCTCCACTGATTGACCAGGAATAATGAAGACAAATCTACACCATTATCTAATTGGTCCTTGAATAAACTCTGTTAGCTTAATGAAATGTTAATAGCTGGACTCCAATAGAGTGTCCAGGGTCTGAGATCTTCTGTGGAGGACTTTCTCTTGGTCCCATCACCATCAGAGGCACATCAGAGGTGAGGTTGTGAGAGAGGTCCTTTTGTGTATGATTCTCTCATTAAGGAAAACAGACACATAATGAAGACTGGTTTCATTATTAGTTACCTCTACAGCAGGGGTCCCCGGACTTTTTGATCTGGGGGTCGGTTCGCTGGCCCCCAGATCTTCTGGGGGGCCAGATGTGCAGACAAAATGGCGCCCAAGTAGTGTGCATGCACACGCGATCGCGGGCGCATGCGCATGACTCCGGACGCCATTTTGGAAGCCAAAATGGCATCTGGCGACAGGCACGAGTGGCGGCGGCACGCAGGCCGGTAGGAAGGCCTCGGTGGGCCGGGTCCGGCCCGCGGGCCGTAGTTTGGGGACCCCTGCTCTACAGTATATCCCATCTTTCTTCCAAGGAGGTGAAGCATATTGTGCTCTCCTTCTCTCATTTTATTTTCACATTAACTCTGTAAGGTAGGTCAGTCTGAGAGAGAATGACTGGTTCAAGATGAATTTCTTGGCTGACATGGAATTGTGTCTGGATCTTTCAAGCCCTGCTTCAGCACTCTAAGCACCACATCTGACTGACCACTCTTTTAAAATTTAGGTTAATGTTGCCTCTCTTTTTAGATGTAGATTTACATGTATATTTAGGTAGCTAGGCATAATTTAGCTAGGAAAAAGTTATTTTTGGCAGCTACCGTTTGGGCCAATGGCCATACTAATTGCGGGATTCTGTGAGTTGTAATCCCCTTTCCCTAATAATATTTCCAAATTCATTTGAAATTATAGCCCCATGAGAAGCTGCAACTGATGAACTTCCCTCTTCTGTATCATAATTAAAGATAGAAGAGACTGATTCTCTTGCGTCTGTTTACTTGACATCCTTTCACTCTTAGTGGAGTGCACTCCTGGATTTTATTGTCTGGCGCACAGGTGGATAATCTTTGTGTCCCTGCAGCAACCCATCAGCATAAACCAGCATGGCCAATGGCGATGGGATGTGTGAGAGGCACATCTGAAGCCCTTAAGGTTGTGTCTGGCTGATCTAGGCTGCATCAACATTGCAGTATTAATGCAGTTTGGCACCCCTTTAACTGCCATGGCTCATTGCTATGGAAATCAGGGATCTGTAGTTTTGAGACATGTAGCCTCCTCTGAGAGTTCTGGTGCCACAACAAACTACAAACTCCAGGATTACATAGCCTTGGCCCATGGCAGTCAAAATGTTGTCAAACTGCATTATATCTGGAGTGCAGATGCAGCCCTAGAGACTGCAATGACCTGTAAAATTGAGTAGTTGGTTATCCCTCTGCTAGAGGAAGACTAGACAGGTTCATCTAAGAAGTGTGAGTTCTCACAATAGAGCTCTTTGGGTTTTGGCAGTGGTGGATGTCTCTGCATCCACTCTTTTTGTGTCAGCATGCCTTTTGGCAGGAGCTGTTGTACCAGTTTTTTTGATCTGCAGTAGTACATGGATAGGAGACTGCCAATTAATACTGGGCTATATTTCAGAGGAAGGAACTGGCAAAACCATCTCTAAGTATTCCTTGCCTAAGAAACTCATGGAATCATCACAAAGTTGGCAAGTGACTTAAAGGCACATATATGTATGCACATACACAGTGCTCTTCCAAAGCAGTTTAAAACAAAGCAATACAAAACAAAACATGGGTTTTGCTGAGATGGTCCTATCATTCAAAGGGGAATTTTTCTCTTCTCTGATTTTTGTAACATTTTTTTTTTGTAGTGTTACAGTGCAAAAGTGTCATTTCATCTGGGTTTTTAAAAGAGGAAAAGACAATGAGTCCTTTTTGTTCAGGTATGCCTCAAACCAAAAAAGATCCTACTCAGTGTTCAATTAAAAATGTTACAGCTGGTGCCAAGAATTTCCAGGAAATAGTTTGGGACAATAGAAATGGTTTTACACCCACAAGTACAGTTGCCCTTTTATCCATGGATTCAACCATCCACAGCTTGAAAAAGTTAAATATATATTTATATATAAATTCCAAACAGCAAACCTTGATTTTGCCATTTTATATAAGGGATGCCATTTTACTACAGCATTGCACTTAATGGGACTTGAACAGCCACAGATTTTGGTATCCACGGCCGAATTCTAGAACAAAACCCCAGCAGATACCAAGGGGCTGCTGTATGACAACCGCCTGCAACCTCCAAATTTGCCTCACACAGAGGAGCTCATAGATTATTTCATTAATGATGGATCTGTATTGCAATGCTGCTGGCTGCATTTTTCAGTAAAAACTGGCACGTGTAGCGCTTTCCAGCTATGCCTTTGCCAGCCACACCTGTATGGTGAAAGCTGCAGATAGGTGTATCTGATTTTATACACAAATTATGCATAGCCCTCAGGCTGCCATAACTACTGCAAAGGGAAACTGCATTGCTAAGTGCTGAATACTGACATATAACAAGATGCTGACTAGAGATATGTTTGTTCTGAAATAATTTTAACCACCGTTTATGGGTTAATGCATTGTGTGTGTGTTCTATCCTTGTTCAGCATCCTATTTTTAAAGATTTCCTATTCATGTCATGCCAGGCTTGCTTTAGCAGTGTCCTTCGAAGTTTAAAATAGTTAGGAAGAAGTGCCAGGTAACTGGGCTATTTCTCATTTCTGACAGAAGACGACATAGACTCACAAGAATTATGGCACTGATGTTCTTTGGGAGTTTTTAAACCGTGCTGCCTCTGAGTGCATCTACCCTCTAGAAGTAATGCATTGACACCACTTTCTGTAGCGGTAGCTCCAGTGTATGGAATCCTGGGATTTGTAGTTTTACAAGGTCTTTAGCCTTCTCTGCCAAAGAATGATGGTGCCTCACAAAACTACAAATCCTAGGATCTGCAATTAACTCAGTGATTGATAGTTTGCTTCTTTTTCACAATCCCTTCTGTATCCCCCTTGCTTCTCTCTTAAAATTTCCCTGCAAAATTTGTAGTAATCCAAGATTGCACAGTAACACTGTCATGGTGATTTTTCTTTGTATAAACCTAATGTCAACATTTAATTTCCCAAGCAAAGCATTATTATCTTATCGAACACTTTGGATTCTGGACTGTTCAAGGAGCAGCTGTTTTGATTTTTCATGAGATTGTAGCTTGTTACTGCAGAGTATCTTCCAGGGATTTGTACATTGAATAAGAAGTTTGGAGTAGTTGAAATGTTGTGAGCTTATGTTTTTAAAATGGGTTCCATGCTTATTATCACCAGCATGAAATTCATGAGAGTCATAAGTTGACGGACAGTTTGAAGGCACATGCACACAAACAAACTTCTCAACACTTAGAGGAATAGTATGGCAGTATCCTGGTTTAAAATAAGTAAAACTTGCTTCCATAGAATGTATTTACATATATTTGTGTTCTACAACAGCAACATGTTACAAAATGCACAAACAAAATTTTCTCCCCAAATCAAGTGGTAATTAAATTTTTGGTTACATAATAGTGTCTTGGCGTAACCTCAAAGCATCATAAGCTTATTATAACTTTTACACATGCTGTAGTTCGGACATGTTCCTTTTTCAAATATTTCTCATTGGCAAAAACAGACATACATACACTGGCTTGAAAACAGCACAATTTCTAAAATACCTGTTAATTTCTTTTGGGTAAGCAGTTAACTTAGCCAATGTGATTATATCCCAAGTTAACCCCATTTCTCAGTCACTTCTTTCATTTGTGTATCTCACTCCTGTCTCTTACCTGCTAATGAGACACAATCAATTCCTAGTAAGACTAGGAATCCCAGAAGGTTTTTAATTTTACAAAAGTTGTGGCTAGTCACCAAGTGCAACCTGTCATGGCTACTTGGCTCAGGTATCCTCAGACTTAGACTGTTGCCACATTGCACATGGGGCTGCTTTTGAAGACTGCTCAGAAAACAAACTTAGTATTTAGTACAAAATTATGAAAATATAGCTGCTAGGCTGTGAACAAAGCCCAAGTGCTGGAAATACATATTGTTGCTTAAATAAATTCACTAGTATCTGATCTGTTTCCAAGCAAAATTCTATTATTTACTCATTTATGACACTTTTTCCCCCCAAGAAATTGTCCTGGGAACAACTAGGAATGATATCTAAAAGATGGACTTGCAGGCAGTCACTAGCACTCTACCAAACTGACTTCTTATTTGATGGGACAATCCACCTTAATATCTAATCAGCATTTTTGCTTGCTGCTCCTATGTATGTGATATAATATTGTTGCAGTTGAGATCCTTGAACTTTGATTTTATGTTTTAGTTAATCAGAACTATCATGTCATGTCATCTTGTTTTTGTGGACTGTTTGAACTGTTGGGTTTGTTCCAGAAAATCATGGATTATTTTAACCCCTTATAGAACAATGAACAGTGTACAATCTGAAGCTATTCCTCTGAGAGCACCTTTCTCCAGTACACTTGTCTATTTGTGGCACATCACAGTCTGAGTTGTGTAAAATGCTCTTTGGCTTGACAGTCAAAAACCCTTTTTGGGTTTTTATAAGTCTATTGTTCTAACAGATTTTAGGACCATGTAAGAAAACTACTCCATAAATACAGCCAGTAACTGAAGATGTGATCCACTGAATTTTCCAGCCTTAGAAAATGTTATAGTCTGTTGTCAGGGCAGTGAAAATCTTCTGGCTGAGAAGCTGAGATAAAAGGCAGTATATAAGGAGTATAGAGCATGCAAATACAAGTGAGCCAGTGTGGTCTAGTGGTTTGAGTGTTGGACTATGACTCTGGAGACTAGGGTTCACATCCCCTCTTGGCCATGGAAACCCACTGGGTGACTCTGGGCAAGCCACATACTCTCAACCTCAAAGGAAGACAAAGACAAACCCCCTGTAAACAAATCTCCCAAGAAAATCTTGTGATAGGTCCACCTTAGGGTTGCCATAAATCGGAAACTACTTTGAGGCATTCAACAACAAGGAAGGCTAAACACTTCCCCCACCACATTGTCCCACCTTCAGTATTTCCTCCATTCCTCATCACTGACAGATTCTTTGCTTGTCATATATGTCATGGAAGGCATATCTCTGGCTCTACAGATATTATTGTATTCTAATTTCCCAGCAGCCTTAGATATCCCTCTAACAAGGGGCAAATGGACTAAGAGCTCATCAGTATGCTTGGTCTATAATGATGGTAAGAGCCTTCGGGAAAGGGATCACTCCTGCTCCCTTCTCCATTGTATTACCAGTCCCCTTACTATGATGAGCCTCTACTTAGACTGCCTTTCCTAGCTTCCTGCTGTCCTTCCCCACTTTCAGTTTCTCCCACATTTGTTGGTCATTTAGCTGCCCCTTTACCCCATAGTCGGCCCTCTGTATTCATGGATTTTTTTATCCATGTATTCAACCATCCACAGAGTGAAACTATTCAAAAATAGTATAAATTCCAAAAGCAAACCTTGTTTTTGCCATTTTATATAACCGATACCATGTGATTATTCCATTGTGTTTAATGGGACTTGAGTATTCACAGATTTTGGTATTTGCTGGAACCAAACCCCAGCAGATATCAATTAGTGCTACTATTGGCTTCGTTTCTGCACCAAGTTAAAATATGGCTTTTATTAAAACCTTTAGGATTAAATACTTTTATCTAGTTTATACATGTGGCTGCTTTTAGACTGTGCTTTATTTTTTAGTGCTTTGAATTTTAAAATGTTCAATTTGATTTAATTTCATGTTGCCCAAGATCCTTGGATATAGGACAGGAAATAAATATTTTAATAAATAAAATAAACAGACCATGGGTTCTGCTCAATTATATGCTGAGGCTGGTGTTCTGAAGAAAGTCCTAGTAAATTCAGTGGCACTTACCTATGTCTAAACTTGCTTAGGATTGCTTCTTTAATTGTGGAAATGTAGGTTGGTGGTAGAGTGCATGTTTTGATGGAAGCATTCACATTAAATCTCTGGGTCTAGTTTAAAAAGAATTTGGTAACATGTAAAAGTAAAGGAGAGACACTGCCACTTAGCACAGCAGTGGTCTAGACGAATGGACAGTTTGATCTGGTGTAAAGTAGTTTCCTGGGGAAATCTCAGAATTTCTTCAGATGTGCCAGTGTTGTGCAATGGCATTACTGTGGTTGGTGTCACCCGGTGCAAAAGGGTGGTGTAGGGGGAGAAATGGTGGCGACATGCTGTGCCAGACCCCAACAGAAGACACCATGGTGTGGAGGCCTCCGGATGGCCCATTTAGGTTCTGGTGTGGCTGCTTGGGCAAACAGCTACACCAGACCCTAAACAGCAGGCACTGCCCTCCAGTAGCAGCCATTGTTGGGGGAGCAGTGCTAAGGTCTCTGGATGTCCTGTTCAGGGTCTTGGCAGCTGCTGGGTGAGTGAGAAAGGGAGGTGACACCCTTTCTTAGTTACTTAGCAGCTGCACTAGTTCCACCAAGTGTACTGCCCCACTGGGTGTATGCCACCCAGTGCAGTCCACACTCCCCACAACCCCCTAGTGATGCCTATGGTATTGTCAACAGTGGTCTGAGTTTTCCAGAAAAAGTAATAATCTTAATAATGTTTCAAGAGCAGGTTTGGTGCGGTGGTTTGAGCACTGAACTAAAACTGGGAGACCAGGGCTCACATAGAGTTGCAGTAAGTTGGAAATGACTTGAAGGCACAAAACATTTTTTTCTCCCCACCCATTTGTTTACGGTCCAACTCACCAATGGAAGACATCTGTTGCAGTGACTAAGGATGGCATCACTCCTCTGGATGCCTGCCTTGGGTCGGTAATGGGCTGGATGAGGGAAAACAAACTCATGCTGAATCCAGAGAAAACAGAGGTACTTGCGACAGGTACTCCAGTCCAGGGAGGGAGCTTTGCCAACCAGTCCTGGATGGGGTCACACTAAAGGACAAAGTTTGCGGTTTGGGAGTACTCCTGGATTCATCTCTTCAGTTGTCATTTCAGGAGTGCTTGGTAACAACTTCGGTTGATTCGCCAACTACCTGGGCCGAAAGGACCTTGAAGCAGTACTACTTGCCCTGGTAATCTCTCATTTGGATTTCTGTAATGCGCTTTACATGGCGCTACCTCTGTACCAAGTTCAGAAGCTTTAATTGGTTCAAAACGGGGCAGCCAGACTGGTCACTGGAACATCTAGGTTGGACCATATAACACCTATATTAAAATCTCTTCATTGGCTGCTGATTAGCTTCCGGGCGCAGTACAAAGTGTTGGTTATTATCTTTAAAGCCCTACATGGCTTGGGCCCGTTACTTGAAGGAATGTCTCTCCCCACATAATCCGCCCCGCACTCTCAGAACATCTGGGAAGAATTTATTAGATTATCATAAAACCAGGTTGAGGACAACTTCCCACAGATTGTTCACAGCTGCAGCCCCAAAGTTGTGGAACAGCCTACCGGAAGAGATCTGTCTTATCGCTACTTTAGATGCTTTTAAGAAGGCACTTAAGATGGAGCTCTTCCGGCGGGCCTATCCACTTGATCTCCTTATTGAACCTCTAAGTACTACTTTAAAATCGACCATATGGCTTTCCGGGTACTGATGACGATTGGCTATTTTATTGAATTTATTTTATTGATTTATTAATAATGTTGTGATTTTATTGATTGTATTTTTGTACACTATTGTATACTTTTATTGTTGTAATCCCACCTCAATCCATAGGCTCCCCTTTCCCTTCTGTATCCAATATAAGCTTCGGTTGCTAACTTTCAAAGCCCTGCATGGGCTAGCCCCTCTTTTCCTATCTGAGCTTCTTTCTCCTTACATTTCTACCCGTACCCTCTGTTCTAGTACTCAAGGCCTGCTGTCCCAACCTAGGCTCTCCACTGCTCCATCCCGGATTCACCCCTTCTCGCTTGCCGCCCCTCACTCCTGGAACCTTCTTCTCCCTCAAACACGAGTCATTACTTCTTTGTTGATTTTTAAATCCAAGTTAAAGACCACCCTGTTCAGGGAGGCATTCCCAGGCACTGTCTAATATACATTTACTCTTTCCTGTTCAGGGAGGCATTCCCAGTGGATATTGCTGTTTAATTGTTGTAATTGTTCCTTGCTTTTAATTAACTTTTATTATTTTACCTATTGTTTTGTATTTTTTTGTATTGTATGCATTTGGCAGGTTTTTATTTCTATTTTATGCTTTGATTATCTCTATATGACTGCACTTTAGAAATAAACTTTAATAATAAATAAATAATCTGCCAAAAACCCTTCTGAAATTCATTCCAGCCCTCAGATTCTGGAAAACCATGTCCAAAGTCACTTCCAAAAAAGCCAGGGGTGGGTGTGAGGTTAAACAAGATCCCCCATGGATAAACTCCTCTGTTGGAGATCTCAACATTTTTATTTTCTTTCCATCAGGTGTGGTGTTTGCTCCATATGGCCCAGTGTGGAAAAAACAGAGGAAGTTTTCCCATTCAACTCTGCGCCACTTTGGGTTAGGAAAGCACAGCCTGGAGCCAAAAATAATTGAAGAATTCAAGTATGTGAAAGGAGAGATCCTGAAACATGGGGAAAAGCCATTCAATCCCTTTCCAATTATTGGCAACGCTGTATCCAACATCATTTGTTCGATGGCCTTTGGACGGCGCTTTGACTACGATGACATAGGGTTTAAGACTTTGTTGAGGCTCATGTCACGTGGTCTAGAAATTAGCTTGGACAACCAAATCCTTCTGGTCAACATTTGTCCTTGGCTGTATTACCTCCCTTTTGGATCTTTCCGAGAACTCAGGCAGATTGAGCTGGACATCACAGCTTTCCTGAAGAAAATAATAACACAGCACAGAGAAAGCCTGGATGTCCAGAATCCCCGAGACTTCATCGATATGTATCTCCTTCACGTGGATGAGGAAAGAAAGACCAACAGTGAAAGCAGCTTTAACGAAGACTACCTATTCTTTATTATTGCAGATCTTTTCATTGCAGGCACAGACACAACATCCAACACACTGCTCTGGAGCTTGCTTTACATGTCACTTCACCCACAGGAACAAAGTAAAGCAGTATTTTTCAGGCTGTCTGATTAGGGGGATCAGCAATTATAACTTTTTCCCTTTGTACCAGGGACCCTTAGCATATTTCATGACTTTTTTTTTCTATCTTTCCTTGAAATTTGCCAGGGACTGGCAGATAATGGCTTGGGGACCAGCCCAAGTCCAGGGACCACTTTTAGTACCACTGAAGTAAAGGATGCTATTTCTTTACCAACATTTCTCCTATGGTTAGCTTGCATTAGAGTTGACCTTAAGTCAGAGGTTTTCCCTGCTAAGCCAGTACTTTTCAAATGTCTCCTTTGGGGACAGAGCTTTGGAAAGTTGCATTTTTGGACCACAATTTCCACGCTCCCCTGTCTGGTGGCCTTGTTGCCTGGGGAATTCTGTGAGTTAGGGTGCAAAACAATAACTTCTCTAGTCTCTAGGCAGGAAGAAGCATTCCACAGGGTTGGTAACAAGTCAGTGGTGTTGGGCACCTGGCATGATCCCTACTTTAGCAGTGGGTGTGGTGACCATTGCTGAAGCCTCCTTTCCTGCCGCTTCTCTCCTTGCTGTTGCTGCCTGTTCATTTGTCTCTCACAGTCAAATGGACAAGGGAAAGGAACAGAAATGCCTCCACCTTACCTTCTCCCTTTAAGTGGATGTGTTAGTTGGGCTTGGGGGCGGGGAGGAAGAAATAGGTGGTGGCTGGTGTTCAAAGTATTTTGTGCAAGGACCCTCTAGAACATAGATAGCTACTTGTTTACTACAACTCCCAGCATGGCCAGTAGGGAGTAGTAGTCCAAATGT